GACTGAAAGAATGAATGAATGAATGACTGAAAGAATGAATGAATGAAAGAAAGAATGAATAACTGAATGAATGACTGAAAGAATGAAGGACTGACTGAAAGAATGAATAACTGAATGAATGACTGAATGAATGACTGAAAGAATGAATGAATGACTGAAAGAATGAATGAATGACTGAAAGAATGAATGAATGAAAGAAAGAATGAATAACTGAATGAATGACTGAAAGAATGAATGAAGGACTGATTGAAAGAATGAATGAATGAATGAATGACTGATTGAAAGAATAAATAACTGAATGACTGACTGAATGAATGACTGATTGAAAGAAAGAATGAATGAATGACTGAATGAATGACTGATTGAAAGAATGAATGACTGAATGAATGACTGAATGAATGACTGATTGAAAGAAAGAATGAATGAATGAATGGTCCACGCAGATGAGTCAATAAACAGGAAGTTACCTTTAGCATGAGAGCATAGCGGCCCTGGACAGCCTGGTACGTTCACCACAGTTTGCTGTCTTTGCTTTAACCCCATCAGCATTTGGACTTCAAACATTTTCACACAAACGCAGAAACAACGTTTGTTTCATAAACTCAGTCACAAACCCACAGTCTGCTCTCTGTCCGAGTCTCGTCGTGTTTTCTCTCAGCTCCTATCCTAACATGCTAACATGCTAAGCTAACGCCAGTATTCGTTAGATAAAAATCAGATAACGCATAATCACACGCTCGCAGACCTTGAAGGCCATTTACGACAGGTGACAACACACCTGGGAAACATGCATGACGTTACGCTTCGAGAATCACGTGCTGACGGAAAAACGACTGCGCTAACAGACCTTCAAAATAAAAGCACTAATGCCCCTTTTCCACTGTCACAGAGCGGATCAGATCAGTTCGGGTTGGTTCAGATCGGTTCGGGTCTGTTGTGTTTCCATGTACATTTCTGGACCAGCTCTGTAGGCGGGGACTAGAATCCAACTCGTCTTACCACCTGGTGGCGGTAGTGCTCCCTTAAGCTACTTACTAGCCACCACTAAACGTATTAGAAGAAGAACACCCTGAAGGTTTTGTCACACGATGTTGTGGAAGAGATGTCATGCTCTAATGGAGTACCTCATGAGCTGTAACTTTAGACCTGATTCATAATCCTACCTTACTGCCTTCCCTGCTGCTTTAAACCCATGTTTTTTTCATTTTAGTATAGATTTTTACAATAAAGATGTATTAAAAATATCTTCACTTTTATTATTTGCAGATATGCACAAGGTTCATGTTAAAATTGCAAAACATCACACTGTGCTGTAATCTTTGAAACTGCTTTTACAATAAGATACAGACTTGAAAACAATTAGATTAAATTTTGTCCTTGAATTTTAAAGATTTGTCTTTCATTAAATTAAAACATAAATTTATTACTTATTAATCTAAAAAAGTTAAGTCTGGTCCTCTGGACATTCAAAAAACAAAACTAACAAAAAACATTTAGTTTATTTATTATGAACTGTATTGTTTGTTTTGTGAATGTCCAGAGGACCAGACTTAACTTTTTAGATTTTTCTACCTGGATTATTGAGCAGCATCAGGATATTAATTAATAAATAGTCAGTTGGTCTGTGAACACCATGGGATCCTAGAAGAGTTGAAGAGGAGGCTGTTCATGTCTGTGCCTCCCTGGTGAAGATGCTGCTCCCACAACCCTGAAGCAGAAGAGGATGGATGGATGGATGGATGGATGGATGGATGGATGGATGGATGGATGGATGGATGGATGGATGGATGGATGGATGGATGGATGGACGGGTGGCGAAGGAGGAGACCATCAAACAGCACGAGTGGTCAGTTCAGGTGAACTCCTGCCTGTTTGCTTCAGATCAGCTGTTCAAATCTCTGCAGGTTCAAATAAAAGGTGCACCAGGACTTTCAGCTGAATCTCTCAGGCCACAGTTGTATGGCCAATAACTGATAACTGTCCTTTCTGAATTTTTGACTGTTTTTGTGTCACTTCATCCTAGAACCAAAAAATTATAACATAACAGTTGAGCAGATACTAGTAATCTTTTCTTAGGATCCATTAAAGATCAAATGCAATTGGAAATTCTTCTCAATTCCAGTATGAATTTAAACAAACACTATATGAACTTAACATTGTAAAATTTGTTTAGGAAATTTAATGTTCAAGGACACCACTTAAGAAAAAAATTGTTTAATAGGAAAAGTAAGAAGTGAAAAATGTACAAAAATAAAAACTACTGCGTCCAACTAATGATTGTGTCTGTCCCTTGTCTCACGGGCTTCATCCAGAAGAAGACACAAGTGTTGTTCCTGCTGTGTCCGGTTCAGTTCTTCATGTTCATTCAGTGATGAAATAAGACTTTTCTTTACTGGACTCTTTTCTCTTTCTCTTCACTAGAAAGAAGAAACAGGTGGTTAATTCAAGCTACATACTGTTTTTGAATAAATGCATGAAACAAAGAAAGGTGCTGCTAACAGCTATAATAGATATATTAATAATTATAAACTGATCAAATAAGAAAATGAAAAATAAATTGATTTAAAAATAATGAAAATGATAATAATGGATATATGAATCAGAAAGTATTATACAGATGCAGATATTCTTTGTCATTCGCACCACATGTGGTCCATGTGGTGGATCAAAATTATGTTCACAGGGTCCCAGTTACATCCAACAATAAAATATAAAAGAAAAACAGTAATAAGATCTAAGATATGAACTAATAAAAACATCACCTAAAAATATAAGCTCTAATAGCATAAAAACATTAAACACAATACGCAGAACAGCAGCACGGACATGAGTCTGTGTGAACAGACGAGCACGAATGAACACAGCAACATGAAACAGATCAGCAGCAACATGAAACAGATCAGCAGCAACATGAAAC